CAGTAGTCATGACACTTAAAGATTGTATTTCCTATATCATTTAGATTTGAGGATTATCTTTCCAAAGATAGCCAGCTCACTTCAACTCATGCTGATTCCTCCAATATTTTCAACATAATATCCAAAAGACAGAATGATATTAGATTATTTTCTTGGAGCTATTGAAGTCCCTATGTAATATCTACAAGATTAACTGCAGTGTGACATGGCCTAATAATGTCCAAGTCACCCTAGTTGCCTCATGAGATTCCTTTATTTTAGTTGTAACTCCTTGTGATGGAAAAGTTAAGATTTGTTTAAATGACTCAAAGCTCTCATTCTGAAAAGATATCATTACAGTGAGTCAGTCTAACATTGGGTTTATGTATCAATTTAAAACTTCAGAATTATTTTACCATCAGCTAACAGGTTCTAGGCCATATTTGGCCATGTCTTCTAGCCAACTTCTTGCTGATGTGGACCTGTGTCATGATTTTGCTGAGTTCAATGTGAGATTAAAATTCTGTTGCTGGCTCAGTCAAGTTATTCCATTATATAAATCTTGATTTGATTTCAACCAGATTATTTGCTATTTGTCAACTGAATGAAGCATACAAATGTTCTAGCTATGAGCAACATAATTGAGTCAAAGGCAAAGTCAGAATAAACAAATTTGTAAAGGAACTCAGTATTCTATAGCAACCTAGTTGTAGTTGGTACTGCACAAAACATCCTTCCATTCCTCAAGACATGTTAGCATCTTCTCTGATTCTGTCTTCACAATATGGTAGGCTGTGAACTGTCAAACCCTATGTGAATCAAGTTGAAAACAGGCTGTACATCAAGTTTTGGTGAAGTGAACATACAATCCATAAATGTGTTGTCCATAGTCACTCACTCATAATCAGAAATCTGGACACCTTGAGGCACATGGTGAGCACTTGCAAGGATCAGGATGTGGAAATATCTGAACTCAGCACAGATCCTCTGTAGACCAAGCAGGGAGATCTCAGCATGGAGAATTGTGAAAAGACCTGGATATAAAAAATAATTTTTGAATCAGATCATTAAACAAGGATGACATACTATGAATAGTGTTGTATTCTAAGGGGTTAATAAGGGCAATTTTTTTTATTAAGGCTTAACCCTTAATAACAACCCTTGATTCATGGCTTAATATTAAGGGCTTAATAAGCCTTCAGTGACTTTCTACTTTTCAAAATTGTTGCTGGATCTCCTCATTTGCCTCATCATCAGCCAGCAACTCCATCAACCATGCCTCTTTAGTATGTGCTGCCCTCTGATATATTCTATGAATTTGCTGATCAATATCTGTCTTCTTTCTCCCTGAAAATAGAAGATCCAATGACCATGGCAACCATTTTGAATGTTGGCACCCATACATGGCATCTGCAAGATCTTCATCATCACTCTCTTCTCCCTGCTTCTTTTTTATCCACTTTGCAATCTCCCTGTGACATCCTCCTCATGACTTTACCAATACTTGAGCCATTATGGGCGCTCAATCATTTTCACTTATCCCCTCATCATCAAGATCTAGCAAGTCTGCATACTTTGAAACAGCAAGAAGATTTTTTACTTTGACATTGTCATGATTATGACACTGTTTTTTGCTAATTAATGAGACCTGCTTTGTGATGTGATGCCTGGATATCAGCCCTAAGCTAAAAACATAGTTAGTTCTTGTAGATCATTGCATAGCTCTCTTCCAACTGACTTTTGCCATTTTTTCAAGCCTTGGCAGCTTTAACCAATTTCTAAGGCATGTTTGTTGATTTTTAAATCTGAAAAATTCCACTCAAGCCCTTGATTGACTGATATACTCAGAAGCAGGATAGCAAAGTCAGTGAGCTCAGCAGTGGATGGAGTATCAAGGAATGCAGTCCACATTGCAACTGGATTATCACCCTGTGATTGAGGGCATTGAAGAGTGTTGAGGGAGCAAATTTTTATAGAATTACTATTCAACTTACTGCCAACTCATAACTACACATCAATTATATTCTTCCTAAAATGGTCATCTGATTTTAAGGCTTAATTAAGCCTTCAGATCATGTTCTCAACAATTCTAAGGCTTAGGTTTAATATGTTATTGAGCTTTAAACCTTATTAAGCCCTAAGGCTTAAGTACAACACTGACCATGAAGGGCAAACTTTGTAGCAGTGTATATTCTGGTATTGGGGAAGGCACTGCAGTTTACAGTGATTTAGTTGTCAAGTTATCAATGGATGAAACTGATAATTACCCTCATCCATGCAAGGATCCTAGGAATAAGATGGTACTAGTTCTTTGTTTGTGCATATATGGGAGGAACACACAAATGATGTTGAGTGCACCAAGAACATTTATACTGGAATAAACCTCAAGACAATGTCTGTTACAGCAATACATATTGACTTACTTGAACTCATCAAATGTGTCTTCCAGCCTGAAAGAATGTTGTCAGTTACTAAAATATCTATCAAGGCAAGACATACATATTTTCTTCAATTGTGCCAACCAAAAGATAACCTATGAGTTTATAAATATGTCAGTGAGATCAGGAGGTCACGATGTTGAGGTTGACCCTGACTGGCATTGTTGATGAGAACATCAATGCCATGAAGTTCAACAGTTTTTTGAGCTGCTTTGCATAAATTCTCAAGAGGGTCCATCACATCAAGCTCAAAGACATTGGCTTCTCTAGCCTTGAGATCATTGAGCTTGTGCAGGGACTGAGCACAAGCTGTTACAATGACTACATCACCTCTTTTCAATGCAGCAAGGACAAGTTCACGACCAAGTCCAGACCTAGCTTTCATAATGAGAACAAACGACAATATTGTGAGATCATAGACTCATGAAGTACCAGTGATAAGCCAAAGAAGTTTCTTCTCAACCATCTTAGTAGAATAAAGATTGGGTGTCTCGATACCATCGGCACTACCAGAAAGTCTGCTTTAAGGAGTGAAATTGAGCAGATCTACGAATATCAAGCAGAAATTCCAGCTGCTTTTTCCATTTGGAAAACTAACTAGAGTATACCTTTACTTGACTCGAGAATCCTGACATCTCACTTTGCAAGCCTACTAGTAGGCATGACATAACAGATGAAGCTATAGTCTCCATTTAGCCTTCTGAGGTGGACAAGCGAGTGGCAGCTGGCCATGACAGTATGCACGAATCCTGAACCATATTCCATTCTGATTAGAAAAGAAAGGGTGCTAAGGTCACTCAGGCAGAGAAGTTTCTTTCATATAGAAAGTTCCAAGTAATCATTTATGCATGAATCTGCATGGATCTACCTGATGGTTGCAGGAGAGATGCACGTTGTGGGAAGCGCCAAAGGCTTATTTATATGTAGTGCCCTGGCCTATACAGCGCCTTGGGGATTGAAGGTTTATGCAAACCGTCATGGTACATGACAGCTGTATGCTACACAGCCAACGGTTACAGCAATGGTGAACAATATTGTATTGGTGGGCTCATCACTTTTGATGGTACAGTAGGCAGTTTGAGTATAATTCAGTGTCACGATCATCGTGCGCTAGCCGCAAGAAGCAAACTTTCGGAGTTTCAATTCAGTGATACTCACCAGGATGGAAATCAGAGTCGGGATACTTGGTGTAGCTTGGTGTAGCGGGATCATCATTCAGCTTGACTTCTACTGAGCGACTTCTGGAAGCGATAGTTATAGTATGTACTGTCTTGATTTTGAGCCTATCCTTTTGTTTGGATGATAGCTTGTACATAGATAACGTTCTACTACTTATGGCCCTTGATCTAAGGGCGGAGCTTTGAAGATCTGATGACAGGGGTATGAAGAATGTTCGATTATCAGAGTAAGGCAATGATAAATGCATATGAAGAAAAACAGTCAACAGAGATTATTAATTACTATAAATTATACCAAGCACGATTATCTCTCTCCTGCTAAATACTTGATCCCCTCTTCATTTTCCATTGAACAACTCTGTGCATTTCCAAGGAACGAGCCATAGCAGGTGCTCTTGGTGCCTATGGATCTATTTCATAATGTACCGAAACTACCTGACCACCTTTTTTCCAGCCCAGCACCTACTCCAGTTGTCAATGTAGAGATGATGCATGATGGGCAAGTGATCAAACAAACAATGCCTAGCATAAGACATATCGCGATGTCCTCGGATCATGTTATGCAGAATCAGCTATTCAATAAGTTACCTGACTCTCACAAAACTGTGAGCACCAACTTGCAAAAAAATGCGAAGAGAGCCTGGCAGGTGATTGTCAGTCAGGTTGAGATAGAGGTGCTAGAGCAAACCTCATACGGCATGGTTGTGGACGGTTGAGCATTGTACAAAAACCATGAATTACGTGACAGCCGTTGTACAGCCGTATGGGAACCCTCAAAAGAAAATTCATACCAACGTGTCCTTGGCTTCATGCATGTTCTCATAAATCATCAAAAAGGTCGTAAGCTGATATTCCAGAGGGAGAGGATGATGATAGCAGTGATGCAAGCAAAAGCATGCTTCTATGATCATCAAAGTCATCGAAGACGCTGACCACACATGGAACATTGAGGCATGATCCAAAAGACCAACAACTGGCTCAATACTTGAGCTCGATAAAGCGTAGCACCATAGCCAAGCCAAGAAACTGGAAACGGCAAGTGTGACTCTAATCAACCTTGGATTATAACACTACTTATGATAAACTGAACTTGACCGTATCCGTATACGACAGTTTACGGCCATAAAACTGCTGTGCTGTACTTACCGTCCAGGTTTGAGGATTCTCATACGGCGCGGTTCACGGTGGCCGTAGCCGTTTTCTTGCCATAACCCTACGGTCGCATGCCGTAAATGGGCGGTGTGCATCACCTAGGAAATCCGGTTACTATCACGTACACTAGAGTTTCAAAATTAAGGGATCGCAAGCCCGGATCCATTGATCTTTAGGGGATATTCAAGCCATACACTACATCGATACAGATCACGGGAAGATGTGAGCTCATTGCGCTGATACCATAACGTACGGTGAGATGGCCGAGCGGTCTAAGGCGCCAGACTAAGGAAAGACTAGGGTATGAGATCGCCCAAGTCATCTGGTCTCTTCGGGGGCGCGAGTTCGAATCTCGCTCTCATCAATTTTTGTCGATCTCCAATTGTAAAACAATGCCAGCTCTGCAATTGGTATTAACAGCAGTATTTTCACTGTTAAATGACTTGAGTCACTCCTCGCATAGAACATTATATTCTTTATATTAAGTATATGGCATCGGATACTCCAGCTATAATCTCTCCCAATATAATCGACGCTGTATAAATAATTATGGAAGGTAGCGGAGTATACGAATGTACTAGCATAGAGTGGAGCGAAAAGAAAAGTAAGGTAAGTCAGTGTACCAGAACAGCCTAGTTGTAGTCGGTACTGTACGAAACATCCTTCCATTCCTCGAGACGCATCAATGTCTTCTCTGATTCCGTCTTCGCAATATTGTAACAATCACTTCCGACGGCCAAGACGGTTGGGAACGGTTTACCATGCGCAACACCTTCTCCCCTGACTACATCGACAATGAGCTCGACCCCCTTGGTAGGATCCCCAGGTTGTGAACCATCAAACCCTGCGTGCATCGAGTTAAACACAGGCTGTACGTCAAGTTCTGGTGGAGGAACGTACGATCCATAAAAGCGTTGTCCGTATCAGTTACTCGCTCATAATCAGGAATCCGGACGCCTTGAGGCACATGGTGGGCAGTTGCAAGGATCGGCGTGCGGAAATATCCGAACTCGGCACAAATACTCCGTAGACCAAGCGGAGAAATCTCAGCATGGAGCGTTGTGGAAAGACCTGGATATAAAAAATGATTTTCGGATCGGATCATTAGACAAGATGACATACCACGAAGGGCGAACTTTGTAGCAGTGTATATTCCGGCATTGGGGAAGGCACTGTAATTCGTAGTATGTCTTCAGTTTTATCGATCGATAGAACTCATAATTACCCCCATCCACGCAAGGATCCTAGGAACAGGATGGTACCGGTTCTTTGTTCGCGCATATATGGAAGAAATGCGCGAGTGACGTTGAGTGCGCCAAGAACGTTCGTACTGGAATAAACCTCAAGACAACGTCTGTTACAGCGATACATATAGACTTACTTGAACTCATCAAATGTGTCTTCCGGCCTGGAAGAATGTCATCAGTCATAAAAATATTTATTGAGGTGAGAGACATACGTATTTTCTTCAATTGCGCCAACCAACAGATAGCCTATGAATTTATGAATATGAGATCAGGAGATCACGATATTGAGGGTTGACCCTGACCGGCATTGTTGATGAGAACGTCGATCCTGCCATGGAGTTCAACAGCCTTTCGAGCCGCTTCGCGTAAATTCTCAAGAGGGTCCGTCACGTCAAGCTCAAGGACATCGGCTCCTCTAGCCTTGAGATCATCGAGCTTGTGCAGGGACTGAGCACGAGCTGTTGCAATGACTATGTCGCCTCTTTTCAATGCAGCAAGGACGAGTTCATGACCAAGGCCGGACCTACGTTTCATGATGAGAACGAACGACAATGTTGTAAGGTCATAGACTCACGAAGTACCGGTGATAAGCCAGACAAGTTTCTCTTTAGCCATCTCGTTAGCCATCTTAGCAGAATAGAGAAGATTGGGAGTCTCGATGCCATCGACACTGCCATAAAGTGTGCTTTAAGTACTGAAATTCAGCAGACTCCCATCTCAGTCGGATGGCCGATTGCGAGTTGTCATGATGTGTTTCATAACACCTGACCACACCGCTCTCGCAGAATTCTCATCAAAAAGATCCAAGGAGTTTCGATCGGGAGAAGCACAATAATGCTCTAAGAGTCATGTACTTTTACCATACCTAGACATGGTTCAACAGATGGAGTCACTCAATAATAAAGGTGGCGATGACGAGTGCATGTTTCACCTCGGAGGATGTATTGCATGCCGTCATAATCGCCAAAAGAAAGGAGATAACACTGAAACGGCAGGGTTTAGGCGCTGCCGTGACGCGCGGAGAATCAGCAGTTTTCTTGCTATATGATTATCATTTATGTACAACGCATTGCCACTATTTGAGATATCCGGATCCGTGATGTCACCAAAGATCAACCAGTAAAATACTGGGAACTTGCTGTCAGTTGTCAACAAATCTCCGAGTCACGAGGATCAGCGATTCTGCGCGGATCTACGCGTTCGTTTGGTATGGGAGGGTGGCGTTTGGTCGCGAGAGAACTACGCACTGTGGGGAACCATTGTACCTTCCCTTCGGAGAAAGCTACCGGAGAGCCGATCAATCTGAACGTGAAAACTCTGATGCGTGTGCCTGCCGAGTTGTCAACCACGGTTATAAGAGGTTCGACTGTAGTAGGCTTCAAGCTGGGACACGACTGTAATTCGGTCATCTGCTATTTGTGCTGATTTAAACTATTAATGCTTGAATGGAAACCTTGAATATAAAAAACAGTCAAGTACTTGGAGTGTTCGGATCTGGTTCTAATGCATTAAATTGGAAAGGCATAACCACTTATGGTTTCGGCCTCTCGGCGCTCGCGGCATTGAGGCGTTGATTCCGCCTTCATACTACCCCTTTGCTCTTTCCAGTACCTGCTCAATCAATCAAGGGCAGGAACTCGCAGTTAACGAGCTTCTTTCATTCTTGTCGATTCCAGCCCCTGACATCAATCTTCTCATTGGAGCCCGTACATTTACTTGAGCCTCCTTGATTCTTTACCACCTTGCTCCGCTTGCACAAGAGATTTACTCCGTAAATTCTTCGAGTTCTTCACGCTGTCACGGGAAGTTGGTCAAGTGAAAGGTCGATATGGGCGTTCGTTAGTGCGGTACAGAGGGAAAAGTGAGCACATGTGAGCACGTTCTGTTCTAGAAACAAGTAGAAGACAATGACGGTTTGTGGGTAAACATCGCATGACAGAAAAGCAAGAGCAGAATCAATGGATCTCGATCAAGTGAGCAGGTGAACAATGAATGATGGTGGCGTGATACGGTACACTGTCAAAAGATTGGTGGTCCATTTCGCATCTGTTGAGTCTCAACGTTTAGATACAGCGGCACAAGAAAGGCTCGAAAATCCCTGCAATGGTAGTCGTCATTGAATTGAGGCTGATATCAATTTGATGTGTGTACAGAGCAAGACAAAGAGAGTATAAGAATGTGCAACGGTGGATCATGTAGATCAGGGGGAGTAAATGTCAGTGGCATGTAGCTTATCAGAGAGCCCTTCAAGAACATGATAACAGTTGATATTGGTTCTGAACAAGTGGAAAGAATGAGAAACGGTGACCGTTGAGGGTATGATCGTTCAGGTTGTGATCAGATTACAATATCGGAGTGACCACTTCATAGGAACTGATGCTTCGAGGACGCGGAGCATCAGGAGTAGGAAGAGTAGTTTTGGATTCGAAAGCCGCAAAGACCTCAAAAGAGACGGATATTGCCGGGATATGTCTGCCGGATCAAAAAATACTTCGATATTTTATCATCGGTTGGATGAAAAAAACCATCAGAGCGAGTCTACCCCGATACATCGACGGCGCGATAACGATGGTAATTCGTACCAAGCTAGCGCACATGACCTACAACACGACCAACATAATCCTCCCCTGTGCCCTCGACCCTCCCGGAACAATCCGTAACAATAACAATGTGCGACACAACTTACGAATGACCGATAACACCCTGCGGTATATACTGCTCTTCCAAATATTTCATTTCTGCCTCGGTCAATTTCATATGTGCGACCGCTAGTACGAGGATCAATAGTTCCATCAGCAACCTCAATCATAAAGTAAAGATAAGTATGATACACTTACCGATGAGCTCGTCCAATTTCTTGAGACTCGTCGTTCCCACAATCGGCGCAGTAACACCCTCCTTTGAAAGGGACCACAAGAGCGCGATCTGCGCCATACTAAGCCCTTTCTTGTTCGCGAGTTCTTCGACACTTTCGGCGGACTCGAGTTCGTTGAGAGGTCATTGAGGATGCTGGCGACAACGTACCGCTTCAAAATGCCAGGCGTCCCGCCTGCTTTTCGATATTCCACAATGAACCTGGATGAGCTGTCATGAGGAAATGAAGAAGAAGGTGAGGAAGCGAGGAAAGAAGTGGGACGTACCAATCTGTCTCCCCACGCTTCGTCTGTTCTGTTAAGGGACGTGTGAGGAGCCCGCGTGCAAGTGAGGACCAGGGAATCGCGCCAACGCCGAATAGCTATGTATTAGAGTGTGGACATTAGTATCAGTCATCGAGTAGAGAATGAGATAATTAGGAAGAAAAATTGAAGAACCTTAAGCGTAGAGAACATTTCCCTCTCCTCTTCGCGGTACAAAAGACTATGGTGGTTCTGCATCGATATGAATGGCGTGAGGTTGCGTGTGATCGCATAGTCTGTTTTATTTGGTGTCGGATGGATTTCATCATAGGGATGCGGCATGGGGTACCTACTCTGCATTTGGTGGACTGTTAAAGTCGGTGAGTGATGGAAAGGGAGGGAGGGAGAGAAACGTACATTGATAAGCGTGACATGAGCTCATGCCGATGTAGCGGACGTATCCTGCTTTGACGACCTCATGGAGGGCTTGCATCTGTAAGGTATCACAATTGAGCAAGTACTGTATGTTGTGAGACGGAGCGGGAGGTTGTACAGTTTCTTCAATAGGTGGTTCATAATCAAATCGGTGGCCTGTAGTGTGAATATGTCAATACATGCACGTAGCATCAGTATCAACAAGAGCGCATCGAAACATACATACATTGTAAAACGTCAATATAATCGATACCGAGACGGTTCAGACTCGCTTTGACGGAATCAAAAATGTGCTTTAACCGTCTCGTGAGATAGACGCAGATGAGTGAGTGGAACGAAAAGGGCTTACTTTCCGACTCAGCCCATGCTGATTAACATACCCAAGTTCATCCGTATTCTCCCCCGAGGTAATGAAGTTCGTTCCATATTCCCGTGCGACTGTCCCATACACCTTGGTGAGGATGACAATCTCCTCGCGTGGGAGCTGGAGTTGTTTAATAGCGTTCCCGAGTATAATTTCCGAGAGGCCGTTGGAGTATATGTTTGCAGTATCGAACGTTTGTATG